TACCATCTATCTATCTATCATCTATCTATCTATCTATCTACCATCTATCTATCTATCATCTATCTATCTATCTATCTACCATCTATCTATCTATCTATCTATCTATCTATCTATCTATCTATCTATCTACCATCTATCTATCATCTATCTCAGGAATGGCATCCGTTTCCTAAATAACATGCCTCAGATACTCTATGAACTTGGATAAATGTCGATAGTTGTAGAGTGGCTTCAGGCCGTTTGTTCATAAGGTCACTATGAGAAACGCTCAGGGTATGTGTGAGCTAAATTTTAACTCACTTTTATCACATCATCTAATGAGTAATTTAGCTGAATCATCTCATGGCTGCTCTTCCTGCTTTTTTTTTTTTAAATTGCAACGGAACTATCATTAGTAAGGAGGTGAATAAATACAGGATAAGAAGCCTTCAGACAGAAGTCATAGAAGGGACAGTCACTTTCTGAATACAGAACCAGCTCTTTGTGGAACTCCCAGAGGTTATGGAAATGGGGTTTTGCTGCAGAGAAGATCATGGCAATTTGAAAAAGCTTCTGGGGCTGCCCTCTCTCACAGCAGGTCCCTAAAAGGGCAACGATGCAAATAAGTATGATCTCAGAGGAACTGCCAGATGAGAAGGTGAGCTTCACAGGACAGAGGTGTTGCTGCTAGGTTCACTGTGGTGGTCCCTGAGTCCAGGCCAGTGCCTGGCACACAATGGACGCTCAGTGACTCTTTCTAGAAGGAGATGAGCAAGTGGAAACCTTGATGTTTTCTTTAAATAGGATTAACAGTAAGAAACAAAGAGAAAACCCTTTCCCACATCCTGCCAAGTTTCTGGTCCCGAGAATGCTTGTAAGCAGTGAAACAGGGCAGAGGAGCAGCACATCCAGGACTCCAATGCCAAGTAAGCCCATTCAGCAACGTGGTTCAAATCCACCAGGTCCTCCTTGAAAGAAGGTTGGGCAGTCTCCTCCCATGTGATTAATTGCCTCTGACGACCCTCTGGAGGGTCAGCTATGGGTTTTTTTCCTACCCTACAGCACACAATAACAATAGCAGCGTATTTGGTTAAGTATTGTCAGGAGTCTGAGATGTAAGTGGTGCCCTCTGAACGGAGGTGTGTGTGGACTGCAAATCACTCAGCCCAGCGTCTGCCTTATTACTATGCATTCACATGTCCTGCAGGGTGTTTGAAATTTTTTCACCTGAGTAAAAACTCTTTCACCTGTGACTAACTAGAACACGAACCTCAGGAGCATGTTGTTGTTGCTGTTAGGTGCTTTAGAATCAGAACCAACTCATAGCTGATCCTCTAGTGGGTGTTCAGAGGTGGTAAATCACATGAGAGGAGGTTGCCCATCAGCTGGTGGAATTGAACCACCTAGCTTTAGCTTGGCAGCACAACTCCTTACCCACCAGGCTGCCTAGTACACAATTTATTGGGCTTGAGAAACACTACAGAAGGTTGCTCTGAGTTGTAATCAATTCAATACGGTGCAAAGTGGGCGTCAGAAACAGCTCTTCTTGAGTGAAACTCTGTAAGCCTTTCACTTACTTTTAAAAGTTTCTACTCAGCTTTGATTGACTAAATTAATAGTCACTACAATACTTTGCACAGGTGGAAATGATTATATAACAAAACTCCTCCTACTGCCATGAATAGCAAGCCTATAATACAGAGCGGAAGTGCCCCTGATGGTTTCCATTCCAAAGTTGTAAATGTCCAAGCAGATCTCCTCCCGTCTCTCCCCTGAAGAGTGAGTGGTTAAGGTTTGAATGATGGACCTTTCAGTTAGAAACCAAGAGCTCACCCACTGTATTACCAGGGCCTCTGGATTATACAGCATAATTTCTAATTTAGCTCCACACAGCCATGGATCAGTGGCAAGAAGCTGCGCTGCAATCCTGAAGGTACTTGGTTAGAATCCACCAGCTGATCTGTGGGAGGAAGGTGGGCAATTTCCTCCGTAGTGATTAACAGTGTCTGAAAACCCGCCTGAGGGTCAGCTATGGGTCGGTTCACACTCCACAGTACAAAACAACAACAAAACAACAGTGGTGGTCTGGGCAGCTTAGTCCCTAGTGAGCTGCATTGCTAGCCAAAAACCCCACATCTCTCTGGGTATAAATCCACAAGTTACAGGGCAGAGGACTGGCAGTCTCTTCCCATGTGATTTACAGCCTCAGAAAACCTGCTGGAGGGGCAGCTGTCAGTTCCCACTTGATAGTAATGACTCTGACTTCTTAGAGGAAGTAGGGAGCTGCCCTGCTAACCCAAATGCCACACCTCTCTGGAAGCACCGTCAGCTCCTCAGAAGAAAGACAGGCAATCTCCTTCCAAGCAATTTACAGCCTCTGAAAACCCACTGGAGGGCCAGCTGTATGCTGGTCCGAACCAGACAGCCAAGAGTTGAGTAGGTGTCGTGCTGTTGAGTCTGAACTGCTCATTGCTGACCTTTTAGTGGGTTTTCAGAGATAGTAAATCACAGGGGAGGAGACTGCCCACAGCTTCAGGTAGTGGATAAAAAGAACATTCTTAGTTAGAACTGCTAACCTTGACTTAAATCCTAGTACACATTCATTTCTAGGTGCCTGGCAAATACATTTTGGAAGGGGGGAAAAAAATCCTTCGTGCTGCATAAGCAAGCTGATGATCTGAATAGGAAAATCTTCATTTATACACACTCTAATTTTCCTAATTATCTTTGTAATGAAAACTGAGAAGTATTAGTCATCCCTGGGTGAGCCCCACTCATTTCTCTTTATCTTCTGTAAATATTCTAAAGACAGCAAACGACGTTCAAGTACATAATTTAAATTAATTAGATGTGATTATTTAAAATGGCTTACCTCCTCTCACTGTACTTTGGAGCTGCCCAGCATTTACAATGCCCCACTAATGACGCCTTTGACCATCTGTATCAGGCCCAGCCCAAGAACTGCACTGTGGGCCATGGCCGGCCAGCAGAAGGGAGAGAGAGAGAGAGAGAGAAGTGTTTTCTAGTGAGTTAAGGCAGAAATAGACAGAAAATGCACATCTGCATTAATGACCACAAACAATTAGTCCTAGTGCAGTCAGAGTGAATATTCAGATTCATTTTATTTCAAGCTACTTATTTGATCCTTGATGCTCCACTTAAAAAGGCTCCTTGGTTAGAACACTACTGAACTGGTATCATTTCTCTTGGCCCTGGGGCGTGTAAGGTAAACATTTTACATTATTGCACGTACCAACAATTTACAGCCAGATACAGTGGAAGCTGATAAACTTGAACACGCTGAGTGTTTAAGGCTAAACTGACATTTGCAAATAATCATTTCCAGCATCGAGATCAAAGATCAGAACACAGTGTCACCCGAGTTACTAAAAAAACTTTCGGAAGCAGCTAATCATAGACGTGTTTCACATTTGCCGGTTCCTTTCCATTTGTGTGCTTGACAGAGGCACTTTAAAGGCTAAGAATTAACTAAAGGGAGAAGGACAAGACATTGGGTTTCAACAATCATTGGTAAGTAGGTCAAGGAATGAGGATGAAATCAGATTTAAAGACAAAATAAGCACATCATTTAATTAGAAAGTTTCCCCAATTTTGTATAAAAACCCAAAACACCAAGCCCATACCTCCCACAGGGTTTCTGATGGGTCTAAGTTTCTCCCCAACCAAAAATCAGAAGCTTTCACCCATTTTCTATACTCAACTATGCCACCACCACAGCTTTCCGACCAAGTTAAGGTCTTGTGGTTTTTGCTGTTTAGGATTGTGAGTTTTAAAATATTGACGGATTAAGGACTTGGAGTTCTATTTCGAGTCACCTGTCAAAATACCTAAGTTGCAAATAGTCAGAAAAACTAGAAGGTGGGATAAAAGAGGTGGGAAGAGTTTAGCAAAGCGTATCAAAATTAAGATTAAAAAAACCCCAACCCCACAAAACTATTCCCTTTTAAGTGTGTAAAAATAAATGGCATCCGCTCGTGGGAATGCAGTGACTTTTTGGGGAGCGAGGAGGTGGCGTCTTAGGAAGCTGGTACGTACTGCACCCGCCACAGCACGTTGGAGAGCAAGTCCTGGTACACGCTCAGGAAGAGCCACCCGGGGAGGTACATCAGGGTGATGAGGCCCATGAAATTGAGCGGGTAGTGCGAGTAGTCCCAGGAGCAGGCCCCGCACATGCGGAGGCCCAGGCCCCAGGCCAGCTCCCAGGTGTAGATGAACAGGACATAGAGAGGCACGCGCTTCCAGGTGCCCCAGCCGCGGCGGTGGTGCAGGTAGAAGTAGAGCTTCTCCACCACGAAGCTGCAGCTGCCGTACATCAGGAAGGACCAGAGCGACGTGTGCCCCGTGGCGGTGCCGTCCCCGTGGCCCAGCACGTTGAAGAAGAAGGTGAAGAAGATCTCATCCAGGAAGCCGTGCATCCCGAAGAAGAGGAAGCGGAACACGTCCGGCAGCCCCG